CAGGTTCGATTCCGGTCAAGGGCATGTACCTTGGTTGCGGGCACATCCCCAGTAGGGGGTGTGCAGGAGGCAGCTGATCGATGTTTCTAACTCTCTATCCCTCTCCCTTCCTCTCTGTAAAAAATCAATAAAATATATTTAAAAAATATATTTTTAAAGGGGCGTGTACATGGTGGCTACCTCAGGCAGGTGGCGCTGTTGTGCTGGGAAATGGCCTCAGTCCGCATCATTAAATCATCACAGTTGAGACTTCCCTTTCTCCTTCTGGATTCTGCATTGTTCCCGTAGACCCCCACGGAGAGGGGGCGAGGGCGGCACATACTGCCATGGCTGGATGGCAGAACCCCGACACTTATAGGATATCCACAGGGTGAGCAGGGGGGACATCAGTATCAACTGTCCCTTCAATAGTGGAAGCCACTGCCTGGATGGCCTGGCTCAGTGGTTGGCTGAGCATCAACTTGCGAACCAGGAGGTCACGGTTCTATTCTGTGCCTGGGTTGCGGGCTCAGTCCCCAGTGTGGGGCGCGCAGGAGGCAGCCAATCAATGATTCTCTCTCATCATGGATGTTTCTATCTCTCCCTTCCCCTCTGAAATCAATAAAAAATATTTTTAAAAAAAATAATGGAAGCCACAACTGCACACTAAATGGGCCCAAAGGTCCCTACCTCACAGCTTTCTTCCCCCACCGGGAGCCTTCTCAAGTGAATTCAGGTGCGTTTTCCTGCGGGGAACGTGGACCAAGGAGTCTAACCTGCCTGAGTCAGGGACTGCAGCATCAGCCTGAGTGGAAATTCCCTCTGTAGGACATACTGTGTCCAAGATCCATAAAGGCTGGTCCTTGTTGGACCTCCTTGGTAGTTAGAGGCTGCAGGACCAACAGTTCATTCATTCTTTCTTTCTTCTTTTTATTGTACATCTTTATAGTTTCACAAACAAGTGTGACAAATCACCCGGCATCTTGGTGTTTTCTAAAGCTGGACATCTTAGATCTTATTCATCAGCCTGCTGAACTGTTCCTTTTTCAGAAACAGAGACACCATCCCAAAACTTTCTGATATCCTTGTTTTTAACTGTTGTGGCTTGCTGAACCAAAGCAGCTGAATTTGACACAAGTTCAATGTCATTGCCTTCAAGAACCAACTCATCTTTCTGGGCTTGAGATACTGAACAAGCAACGCCTGACCTCATCCGAACTCTGTGGATGTATTTTTCGCCCAAGAAATTTCTAATTTCAACAAGGGAACCATTCTCCTGAATAACGACGTTGATGGGGAAGTGAGCGTACGCAGACCTCATCTTGAAATGGAAGCCCGGTGTAACGCCCTTGATCCTGTCCTGTATATGAACGCAGGTAGGGTGAACTGTGGCCAGTTCCTTCCTATTTCCCTGCCATTTGTCAACCCGGAGCCTCTTCTTTTTCTTTCCAAGGAGACTGAGCTCTACATGGATGTGGTTGAAGTCCCTCCGCAGGGTGCCCCTGGGGCCCTTCACAATAACTGTGCGTCCCTTCAGCGTGATGTCCACATTTTCTGGGACGTCCACAGTCTGATCGCTGAGAATGGTCTTCATCCTCGAAGTAGGTGCAGCAAAGAGGAAACCTCGTTCTTTCTTTTTTTTTAATCTAATTTTGTTTTGTTTGTTAATCCTTACCCGAGGATATTTTCTTCCATTGAAATCTGGTTGCCTCACAACACTTGGCCATGTTTCAAAGCCACTCTGCACCCAAAGAGGCAGATAGCTGGAACTCCTCCAACTTGGAGAAAGGGTGTTTTGGTTGTGATTTCTGAATGTGCTGGTTGTTGCTGGCTTTCCTGCTATTTAACTAATAATTGCTGTCAGTTCAGCCTTGTCATTACCAGTTTAGTTTGTTATGGGTTGTTTAGTTAAACTGCATGGATAATGATGCATATTTGCTTCGATTCCATGTGCGCGTGGCCTGTAATTTCCCACTAATTAGACTTTTTAAAGACACATAGGCAGTTATCTGCTCAAATTTGCATAATCTGTTCCCCTGTTGCCAATGCAGATGTACACAGCGCCCACCCTCCCTGCTCCAAGAAAGAATTTGCTTCCGCCACCGCGTTCTGTAAAGTAGGGAGCAGGGGGGTGCGGATGGTTCTTTTTCCACTGAAGTGAGAGCCATCAAAACAGCGCAGACAAGAGGGGCTGGGCCGGAGTCATATAGGAATAGTGGGGCTGAGAGGAGGGAGCAGATCCCGAGATATCGGAAATACAGCAAACTGACCAAGGATCACAACCCCCGCCCCCCAACCCCCCAGCTCTAACCCCCATGCCCAAAGGATCTGGACACCACCAGTTCCCCAAGAATCAAGCACCCAGACTCTCAAGTGGCTTTATTTCCCCGGTGTGGGGAGCTGAGTGCCCTCTGTGGTCCCTGTGCCCCCAGGGCCCTGTAGCCTTCTCCCGCCCAATGGGCTGTGGCAGGGCCTTCAGGGGGGCCCTGCCTGGGCTCTCGAGGCTGATCCTCCCAGAGTGGGGCTGGTTCTGGGAGGGGCCGGGCCTGCTGTGGTTCCAACGGGTGAGACTCCTGCAGTGGTCCCGACAGCGATCCAGTCCACGGCATGAGGCCCACCTCCAGACAGGGCCACCGCGTACTGGGGTCCAGGGCCAGCTAGGCCTTCCTCTGGGGGCAACAACTCCCCATGGCGCTACTCCTTGAAGCCTGCCATCAGGGCTCAGTCTGGGGGAGAGAACAGGTGGTGGGCACAGAGAGGAAGACAGAAACAATGGGAGACCAGCGAGAAGCAGAAAGACCCATGAAAGGTCCAAAGGAAGCCGAGAGAGTGGAGGTCGGACAAAGAAAGGATCGCGAATGAGAAAGAGAAATAGGGGAACAGGGGCCGGGAAAGGAGGCGCACCGGAGGCAGTGACAGAGGCCGGAGGTACATGCAGGTCGGCCCTACGCACTGACCTTTGGTCCCAGGCGGGGTCGGGGGTGAAGGCCCCCCTGGCGGAAGCAACGCAGAGCGGCTCAGGGCCTCGGCCACCCAGCCCAGGACGCGGCTACAGTGCTGGACCTGGGGAGCAGATGGGATATCGGGGCGCCCTACGGAAACCCACTGCCTCCCGCCCCGCCCACACCCCCCAGCCTGGCTCGCTCTCCTCACCTCCTGTTCCAGCCCTTTCAGACGCTGCTCGTACTCGCGGACCTGTCTCAGCTGCTTCAACGCCATGTCCACCCTGCGCACCCAGGACTTCAGGCCGGAGACCCCACCTGTGGCCCCGCCCCTGTGGCTCCGCCTCTTCCTGCTTTCCAGGACCCCGCCCACTCAGGCCCCGCCTCCAGCCTGGTGCTCTGCAAACCCAGCCCATCCTCCCAACCAATCTATGTCTCGGGACACACCCCAGAGGCCAGAAGCCCCGCCCCCGGCCAGGCCCCGCCCTCACTTCTGCGACGTGCGCTTCAGACGCTCCGAGTCACTTTCCCGCTTGTCCCTCGCCCGCGCCAATAGGAAATTCTCCTTCTGCACCGATTCCCACGTCAACAGCTTCCTCTCGGCTTCCTTAGGGAGGTGGACCCCTGGAGGGCAGGGTCCGGACAGAGTCAAGGGCCCGCCCCTCCTGGGGCCGGAACCCGTCCCGTCCCGCAATCCCCACCCAATACCCTGCCTGAGCTCTCAGACCACGCCCCCGACGGCCTGAGCCACGCCCACCGGCGCCTCCGCCATCCTCCCCGGCTAATCCGTGTTCTTTCTCTCAGGGCCCCGCCCCTGGGGTTTCTCTGTGTTGGGCCAAGACCCGCTTCTCACGAAAATGCCGTAGGTTGGGGGAGGCCGGCATGCTGGCCCGGTGCCTGCGCAATCGACGGAAGAGCAGGCGCACGTGCGAGATGATGATGAAGGGTGGGGCCAGCGCCGGCCGAGAGTGAAATTCCCGGATGAGGCTGTAGCGCTGCGCCTTCCAATAGAGGTCGCTGTTGCCCTGTACTTTGCCGAAGGTGTAGCTGTGGGGACCAGAGGTCAAGGGTCACCAGAGGTCGCTGCCCAGTCAAGGGCGGAGGATCAAGGTGAGATATCAGGCAATACGTTCAAAGTCCAAGGCGGCAGGCGGATAGATGTCAGAATCAATAATGTCGGAGGTTATTCCGAAATGCAATTAGTAGTTAGGGTAGGAGGGCCAAGGGTCCGAGATTAGAGGTCAAGTAGGGGATGGTGTCATGGATTACGGTAGAGGTTGTAGTCAGATTCCAAAGTCAGTCTGAACACAAACAATTAAAATCAGAAATAAAATGGGGACATTACTACCAAATTTATAGAAATAAAAAGGATTATAAGAGAATAGTATGGTGGCCGGGTGGCTCAGCTGGTTAGAGCCTCATCCTGCACGCCACGGTTGCGGGTTCCATCATCGGTCAGGGCACATACAAGAATCAACCAACGAATGCAGAAATAAGCGGAACAACAAATCAATGTTCTTCTCCACCCTCCTCTAAAATCAAGTTTTTAAAAAAGATAACCTAGATAAAATGGAAAAGTTCCTAGAAACACACAAATTACCTAAACTGACACAAGAAGAAATAGAAAATCTCAAAAGACCTATAACAAGTAAAGAGATAACTAAATAACTAATCAAACACACACACACACACACACACACACACACAGCTCAGGGCCAGGCTTCACTGGTGAATTCTATCAAACATTTAAAAAACAACACCAATCCTTTTCAAACGCTTCCAAAAAGCTGAATAGGAGAGAACATTTCCTGAATCATTCTATGATGCCAGCATTTCCCATTATATCAACAGAAAAGAAAATTACAGATCAATATTCTTGTTTTGTTTTGTTTTGTTAATCCTCACTCGAGGATATTTTTTCCATTGATTTTTAGAGAGAGTGGAAGGGAGGGGGAGAGACAGAGACACAAACATTAATGTGAGACACACTGATTGGCTGCCTCCCACACGTGGCCCAGTTGGGGATCGAGCCTGCAACCGAGGTACATGTTCTGGACCGGAATCAAGCACGCAACCCTCAGTCCTCAGGCTGATGCTCTAACCACTGAGCAACTGGCTAGGGCAAGCATGTCAAACTCGTGGCTGGTGAGTCTCAGAGTTTGACATGATTGAGCTAGGGCAGTGATGGCGAACCTTTTGAGCTCCGCGTGTCAGCATTTTGAAAAACCCTAACTTAACTCTGGTGCCGTGTCACATACAGAAATTTTTAAATATTTGCAACCATAGTAAAACAAAGACTTATATTTTTGATATTTATTTTATATATTGAAATGCCATTTAACAAAGAAAAATCAACCAAAAAAATGAGTTCGCGTGTCACCTCTGACACGCGTGTCATAGGTTCGCCATCACTGAGCTAGGGCATAGATCAATAATATACATGCGAAATTTCTCAGCAAAATACTAGCAAACGTAATTCAGAAGGATAGTAAAAGGATTATATACCATGACCAAGTAGGATTTATCCCAGGAATACAAAGGCGGGTCAACACATAAAAATCAACCAATGTAATACTCTACCTTAATAGAACAGAGGCAAACAAATCACATAATCATCTCAACCGACCCAGAGACACAGAAAAGGCATTTGACCAAATTCAACACCTTTTCATGATTAAAAAAAAAAAAAAGCCTCATAAAAGTTAGAATAAAAGGAAACTTCCTCAACACGGTAAAGGGTATTTATGAAAAACCCCAGGTTTCTCCCCTCAGCCTGGGCTCAGGGAGAGGATCAGAGTCCACAGTCCAGGTCAGAAGCAGAGTCTGCCTGGGCCTGGGGACAGGGCAGCATTAGATTTTAGGGACTAAAGGTGAGTTGATTAGGCTGGAATCAAGAATCAATCATGTTGGGGTCAAAGGTCACGCCAGGGTCAAGGTCATGGTGGGTGACCTCAGATCAGGGCGGGCGGGGCTCCTCACCTGAACATGGCGATGAGGAGGTTGACCAGCAGGATGTTGGCCACGAGCAGGAAGATGACGAGGAGGAGCACCACCAGCCAGTTGGCATAAAGGGAGACGCAGGAGCCCGCCTGGGCCCCCACCGGGCGCGCCCAGAAGCCCACCTCCGAGGAGCAGTTCACATGATCCATGAGGGCCACTGCGGAGGGAGACACTCAGGTGGGGGCAGAGAGACAGAGACCGAACGAAGACGGAAATCCAGAGGGGCACCCGGCCGGCGTGGCTCAGCGGTTGAGCATCAACCTATCAACTGGGAGTCACAGTTCGATTCCCGGTCAGGGCACGTGCCCGGGTTGCAGGCTGGATCCCCAGTGGGGGGCGTGCAGGAGGCAGCCAATCAATGATTCTCTCTCATCATGGATGTTTCTCTCTCTCTCTCCCTCTCCCGCCCTCTTTGTTTGTTTGCTTATTTATTTTTCTCCCTTCCCCTCTGAAACCAATTTTTTTTAAAAAATATGTTTTATTGATTTTCTACAGAGAGGAAGGGGGAGGGATAGAAAGTTAGAAACATCGATGAGAGAGAAACATCGATCAGCCACCTCCTGCACGCCCCCCACTGGGGATGTGCCTGCAACCAAGGTACATGCCCTTGACCGGAATCGAACCTGGGACCTCTC